CGTGAAATTAACAATACCCCGAGCATCTTAGAAAATGTCTTTAATTCTTTGAGGAACAGGTGTGAAAAGTGCTTGGAACAAGGAGGGGGACACTTTCAGCAGCTGCTTTAATTTATTGTTATAACAAGGAGGGGGACACTTTCCGCAGCTCCTTTAATTGTTTGTTATTGTTATCACGATTATTCTTTAAAATAAAGTTATATAGTCATTAACGTTATTGAAACTGACAGCTGCTATACAGCTCGTTGAGAAATGAGGTTAAGTTGGTCGCTATAAGCTACGCCCTACGTCCAATGTGTCAGAGCCAACTTCGACCACGTTTTTATTTGAACGCTCGTTATTATATATAACTTTTTATCTTAAAATTAGCCAAAGATTCACCCTTTAAAGTTTGTATAAGTTTAAACACCCTGTATAAATGAAAACACTAAATATTTACTTCTAAATAATAATTTGACTAAAATTAATTGGAATATGTAATAAAATATATATTTTTTGAAAAGGTTTATCATATACTTACTTACATTTTTTTATTATTAGTTCTAATAATAAACAAAAGATAATTAAGGTAGCTGCTCAGCTATCTTAATTATCAGTATTAAACAGTTTTTCTATTTATTTGTAAAAAATCTTGTGGGGGATAGGGAGAAATACATATTCTTACAGTTTTTTAAGAGAAGTTTCCCAAACAAGGAAGATTAGTGCATATGATATATTGATAATAAATTTAATGAATAAATTTGTTAGTTCTATTGTTTTTGTTATATTTTACGAAATGTTAATTAACTAATAATCAACTTATTATCTGTGGAGGTGCGAGTTTTCCACACAACGAATACAAAGCTGATTGATTTTTAACTTTTATCACGGATTTACAGATCTATGCATTTAAATTAATTAATTAATATGAATCGCAGCGTAAACTTCAGGTCAATGTGATTATAAAATCGCTGTCGATACAATAATTTAATGTTAAACAGGACTCAATATACAAATATTTTTAAATTGTTACTTCATGGATAACAATGCACATTCACACCTTACACCGCCAATTCACAGTAGTAATAGCTGATGATGTTCTACTCTATGTACTACCGTTTATGGTTATGCATTAAGTAGTGAAATAATATTTAAGTTTAGGGAATAAATTTATTTCTTAGAACTAAGGTTTTTTGTTTGGAATTACAAGATTCCTTCATCATTAAAATTATGTTTAATTTTAAAATATTTTCATTGTAAATACATTTGTACACGGTCCCAGAAAATTTGCCCCCCTCTTTGTCTCTGTTATTTTTAGAGATAAGAAAAACCGTTAAAAGTAAGGGTTGTAGATATTTTCAAAAATTTTGTGGCACTTGTATTGTAAAGATAGTTATTTATTGTCGCATTTATTAGCCTAAAATATGTTTTTTTTTAATGGAACAGGCTGTAGTTTTCAAAAATATTTTCTATATGATACTTACCTTTAACGAATTTCGAGGTATTGCATATTTTAGTCTAGTTTTACATGGTAGTCTTGGAAGAATACTGACAATTAAAAAAATTAAAGTAAAATGTTTGTAGAAGCAGAAAGTTAATATATTGTGACAATTTACTTCAAATATTTAAAAGTTTAGCCAGAAATAATTTTATTTAATTTGTACAACACAAATTTAAAAATAAACTTGTTTTTTCGGAAAGAAACTAGTATATGCTGTAATCACATATAATTTTTCAAAACATACTTTTAGTACACTAGTACCAAATGGGAGGCAACAAAATGTTTTGAAAAAGTAAAAAACAAATATTAAACTAGGACGGCAAACTGTAAAATAAAAGTGTCGTTTGTTAAAAATCGTATTTTTAATTGAAAACAGATAGTTCATTTAATATTATATAACTCTTGTATCTGTATCTACTCAGTTAATTTTTTTCAAAAAATCCCACTCTTCACCGCTTACTAGGGCAATGATGGTGGCATCATGGTACATATTAATATTAATAATAATAATAATAATAATAAATATAGGTATCATATACAGAAAGTTTCGCATAAGAACCAACACAGAGCAGCAATTAAATTATCCATAAAATAAAATAATAATAATTTAAGAAGTATATAGGGTAATTTCACTTTAAATACAGAAACGGCAAGATTAGATACCAAAAAAATAAGTAGAGTTCGCTCTATAAACTTTTTCCTGGGGTATTCTAGATACAGGGCGTTAAAATTTACAAAAAAATATACTTATATTTTCTGTCATATACAAATTCATAATGCGCTGATGGAATTGAATGAAATTTACTGCGTATTCACTTAATTAGACCTTTTTAGGCGAGCGGTTCACCCCTAAAAAGATGCTTCTAAATGAAGGTAACCGACTAAATTTTTCAAACAAAAACCTACAGCATGAAACTTTTTTATTTTATAAAGTGTATTTTTCTGATAATTTACATATATTTTTTATATTTTTCGGCGTGGTCAGTCAATTGTTAAAAACAAAAAAGTTGTAAAAAAGAATACTCGCCGAATGACTGAATTGGTTTTTTTATTGTAAAATGGACCAAATTAAACACTTTTTCTTCTTTGACAAAAATTCGAAATATGCTTCGTTTACAACTTAATGTGAAAAAAGTGACGAAATCGACAAACTTTCTCAATTTTTTTCTTAAAAACTACTGAACAGATTTTAATTCTAAAAAAAGCATAATAATCGGCAGATCTTCTACTTTAAGATATATTTGTATATATGTCAATTATTTTATTGAAAGTCTAAAACGAGTAAAAAAACACTACAAATAGTAAAATTATAACTCTAGATCCATTGAGACATGGATGGAAAATCGAAAATGGTTCTTTGGATTTTAATTATTTCGATGGAGAAACTGCGTTAGATATGCTTCAAAAATATTTTTGTTCATGTAGTGGAAAATGTTCTACGAAAAATTGTAACTGTTTGTCATCGAACCTGGAATGCTGTGCAGTCTGCTGTGCGTGCTCAGATGAATGTCATAATGTTCCATCCGAAATTGATTATGAAACGCTTATTTCAACTCAAGAACTTGTCGAAAATAACGAAAAACTTATTATTTAAAAATTAAATAAAAAAGAAATTAATATACTTTTATTGCTATTAATATTTTTGTAAAATAAAAATAAAATAATTATCCTATACAATAAATTATCCAATAACTTTTTTATTTTTCGAGACCGCTAGGTCAATTATTATTATTAGGTTAATTTTACGATTTAATAAACTTATTTAGTTTAGTTTTGGTATAACTTTCAAGTCAATTTTAACCATTTATAAAACCAAAAATCGAATATTTAAATTTTACTAATTATTTGCAAAAACCTTACTTGGGCTACAAAACCAAACAAAATGATCTTTTGAACATTTGTACTGTTAACATATATTGATTAAAAAAATCATAATAATGTTTATTGTAAATATAATTTTCTTTAAAAGACTTTTTTTTACTCGCTTTAGACCTTCAATAAAATGATTGACCCATACCAAAAAATATATAGCTTAAAATAGAATATCTGCCGATTATTATGCTTTTTTTAGAATTAATATCTGTTTTGTAGTTTTTGAGAAAAAGATTCCGAAAGTTTGTTGATTTCGTCACTTTTTTCACATTAAATTGTAAATATCTTGGAAACGAAGCATATTTCGAATTTTTATCAAAGAACAAAACGTGTTCATTTTGGTCCATTTTACAATAAAAAACTGTCCAAAGCCTTTCGGCGAGTATTTTTTTACAACTTTTTTGTTTATAACAATTGACTGACCACGCCGAAAAATATTAAAAAAATATGTAAATTATCAGAAAAATACACTTTATAAAATAAAAAAAGTTTCATGCTGTACGTTTTTGTTTTAGAAATTTAGTCGGTCATGCCTTCTTTTAGGGGTGAACCGCTCGCCTATTTATTGAATGTAATATTAACCTCGTGGCGTGATTATGAAGATATGACAGAAAACATTTTTTTTTTGTAAACTTTGAAACCCTGTATCTCGAATGTCGCGTGCCTAAGGAAAAAAGTTTATAGAGCAAACTCTACTTATATTTTGGCAATTAATCTAATCCTGCAGTTTCTATATTTAAAATGAAATCACCCTGTATATTGCATTTCAAATTTCGAAATTTTTAAATTTCTTAGTATTATTTTAACAAAGTATAAGAAACAAATCAGTGACCATCTAAAAATACATATTTATGCTTCCTAGAACTCAATAAATATTAAGGCAGTGAATAAATATTGTCGTGCACTAATATTTGGCGGATACGAACTTTTGATATTTACAAACTTGGGCAACTACTTAGCCTGCCTATGAGATATCAAGTACACAGGAAACACAATTTATTAGCGTCGTTCCCGCCTAGAGTACCACTTACCTTTCCCTAAGAAGAAGAGCACGCTGAGTAGCAGCTTCAGATGCAGCTTAAATATCTTGAAGAACATGTCTGCCTACACTCGAATTCGGGCTAATAACTCTTATCTCCTTCCCGACTTCCACGTTAAATGTCCTGTACCACTTAATCTGGCTTAGTCGACTAGTAAACACTTTTAATGGACTCTGAATGGCTTAATAAAACTTTACTTCTTATTGTCTGCGATTCGGGGAGCTTTAGACTTTCTTTATTACACGACCAGTTCTTATTTGTTTCTGCTGGACTTTATGTTTAATATGCGAGGATCAAATTTACTGCAGGGGTGCTCTAAAATACCTCAGGGGTGGGTTTAATCGATATTTTGTTTTATGGTCTCACAGAATATTTTTTTCGGTTTTTAGTTTACGCATCTTAAAATTTCTAATTTGGCAGAATTTACCAGCTGCCGTTTATATTCGAAAGTTTAGTAAATACAGGTAACTTTTTAATTGTCCAATACAGGTATCTTTCTTATTTTAAGAGATGCAGAAATGGTTAAATAAGCAAAAATGTGCAGAATTGCATGCTTAACACGGATTCGTTTTTAAATTTAGAAATTTCCGAATAGTTCCGAAGATATTCGAATGAATCCGATTTGATGCTATTTTTTTAGTTATATTTCACTTGTTTTTTCAAAATTTTAGGACAAAAATGTGTGGTCTGATATAAAATGATGTAAGGAATGGATTTTTGCTGTCAGTATTAACGTATCTCTAAAAATGTGTGCTAAAGCAGTAGTCAACTTTTGTTTTTCTTAGAGACTCCATATTGAACTTTTGCCTCATTAGAAGAAAGGGGAAATTCTTTTTGCAACGATGTATAATTTATGGGGTTTTCATAAATAAATAACCAAGGTATTAAATATAATTATTAGGGTGGCCCAAAAAAAAACGAATATTCTTTTTTTGGTATCTCTTGTGAAAATATGTTAGTTTATCATGTTTTAAGAGCCCCCTCAAAAAATCAGCTCGAAAAAAATTTTTTAGGGGTCGCCCAAGAATTTTAAAAATTTCCAAAATCGTCAAAAAATAATTTTTTTTTCTCGTTATTTTATTATTTTCTAGGTTGAAAAAAATCTTAATTCTGAAAATTTCATATCGATATTTTAATTTCTAAAGGTTCTCATAATTATTTTAACTTTCAAAGTAGTGTACCTGTTTTCGAGCGACCTCTAAAAATAAATATCAACGAACTAATATTTTTTTTTATTGAATTTGATGAAGAAAATAATAGAAATAAATCACGGTGGCCCAAAAAAATATTCGTTTTTTTTTTGGGCCACCCTAATACATAATTATAATTTTAATAAAAAAAAGTCAAATAGGCATGTGAATTTGTTCTATAAATTCATGTAATATTTCTCATTTTTTAATAATTTTTAATACACCAACCTTTTAATTTAATTTTAATAATAGAAACTACTAATCCTATAATAATTTTTACAAGAAATCAAAATTTTTAAAAATCTTTATAAAAGCTTATCCCTTTATAAATAAAATATTAATATAAAATTAAAAAATTAATTTTATATTATTAATAATAAAATTTAATTTTCTACATAACAATAACAATAGCAACGAACAAAACAACATAAATAAAATAAAAAAAACAAAATTAATTGGAAAATTTAATTTTTATTTTTTTTATAAATGTAATCGTAATAGATATCGTTACATTTTTATAGAAAAATTGTAGATACTTACATTTTTTTGCATTTTTGTCTATACTTATTAAACAGTAAACTATTTTCTCTACTTTTAGGATCAAAATGAGAGGAACTAATATTAAACATACAGGGTGTCTCACGGTGACGGCCAATTAGAATTATTTCAGACTACTTCGATTTGAATTTTGAAAATTTGGAATACCGGGTTTTCGGGCATGCCCTTCTCAACTAAAATAATGACGTCCACGTACCACTTCCGGTTATACCGGAAATCGCTATCAACTTGCTTATTTTAAATGGAACACCCTATATATATTATTGCAATTTTGGATTCTACGTGTTATTTTAGGTGAACTTTTATTAAGTTTCCCTATTCCTAAAATTAACCGTTTTTGAGATATTTCATTTTTTTCAAAAAAATTTAGAGAAACAGTGACTAGCTTCAAACCATGTGTATTTTATAGTAAGAAAGAGAAAGCAACAATATTTATAGGGGGAATAGCTAGACCCCTAAGTTTCCCATCCATACATTCAAAGTGGCTTAATTGCATACACGGTGCTAGAAATTTAATGTCGAGTTTAGTCCTTCATAAGTCGGTTTTTTAAATGGAACACCCTGTATGTTTTTTTATTTTCTTATACCCAATTTTATTCTCTCTGAACGGTATCAGGGTTCCCTATACCTATCTCTTCTAGTTTTTAAGTTATCTACTATTTTTTGTGTAATCACCTAAAATCATGTAATTTCTTGCAAGGATAGCTGTGGAATTTTTAGCAAAACTTCAAAACAAACAACTAAACTGCCAATTTGTTGTTAGTCTCTTGCAGTGACAGTTTAATTTAGTGTTTATAAGAAATGAAAAACAATACATAGGTATTCAAATGGTGATATTTCGGTAGACAAAACAGTTCTGTTGTTGTCAAATTATTTTATTAATTAAAACCACAAATTAATTTTATTAATTAATAATAACAATAGCGACCAAAACAGTTGAATTTGCTGATATAAAATAGCTGTTATACAATTTTTAATAAGTTCTGAATCACCCTGTTTATTAAATTTTGTTTTGAAATATCCGAAACTTGAGTGAAATTATAATAAATACCTACCAGTAAGTTCAGTATTTCATGAAAAATTGATTTTTATTTGAAAGTTTATTAAAAAAAATAATAATGATATGTTTAAAATATATAATAAGAAGTGACGGAATATACAAAACAAAATATTAATAAACATAATTCGAACTAAATCATTACGTTATCACAGAAAAAAAATCGAATCAATTTTAAACATATCTGCAAAAGAAAATAATGCGTTACGCATGTTATTGTTTGACTATTAAACTTTGTTTTGATATCTTCAAAACTTTTACAAGTACAATTAGTGTATATTTTAAATATAATTATTTTTTAACCAATCATTAATAAATCCTCATTTATTCACATATTTTTAATTTTTTTTTTTAGAAATATTAATGTATTTTAAAAAAGCTCATGTATTTTACCTAAGAAAACATGAACTAGCTTCCTAAGATTGTACTTTTATTCAATACATATTCTTGCTCGAAGTACAAATTTCGCAAATCACACGCCAGTAGTTCTGCTGTGCAAATTCGTGACACCCACGCTTTTCTGTCGATTTTGTTTCATTGTTCCATACCATCTACTTATATGTAGTTTGTCACATTCCCCAACTTCGTCGTTATAATTTGTTAAAGCTTACCAGACAAAGCATATTTTGTTAAGCTCTGCATTCTGCACACCTAAAACTTCCCGATTAAGTTTCCGAACTCCATTGCGGCTTTTTTGCGTGTTTCTAAATGTCCTTGTACGAAGACTATCTTAATTTTAGTTGTAATCCGTTCGGGAAAAGGTGGCTGGGGATAACACTTCACTTTATTGGCACAGTGGAGTCGATATCAATTACTTCAAGTCGGTATTTACCATACAGGGTGTCTACATACCAGTAGGTATATAAATTGTGACAAGAAGTAGTAAAAAAGTTCCATCAATAAACAAGGGTGTAAAAGAAGTGAACACTAAATTGTAAAAAATAAGAAAAGGTGTGATATAAACATATTCCACCTTCAATACAAGACTACCCTGGCTCAAAAATAATGAACTGTGGTAATGAAGGTTAAATTAAAAAATTTTTAATAAAATAGGAAATTTGATAAGAATCTTACTATAATAACAATTCAAAATATTTAATTAGTGATTAGTCTGATTGTAAATATTTAATGTGATAAAACGTAAACAAATATTTTAATGCAATAAAAGTATGGAAAGATTGAATATAGCCAATTTTTGAGTTATGGTGGGCTTATATTGAAGGAGCGTTTTTATTTGTGTCTTCCAAACGGGTGGACCAGATCAATTCATGAATAAATTTAATTGTACAATAAATGAAATAATTCAGGGGCAAAGATTCAGGAGTATTGTCGTTTTTTTTTCGATCAGTACTTCTATGTTAAGCCACTGAAGTTTTCTCAAAAATAGTAGCAGCTAGAATAAATTAAAAATGTACTTTTTGGATAGGACGAGTGTAACCTAGCGACTTGGAATTTATGTCGTTGGTATGAAAAGTCAACTAATGCTGATATCGGTTAGAACTTGGATGAGTGACCATCTGGAGAAGGCTCGCGATGCTCGTCCGCCTTCTAATGCTTGTATGTCGGTGTAATCACAGAAACTATACACATTCAGGCGAGGTTTGTCTAGGACATACCATCCCTCGAAAAGGATGTAACACCGTTGGTTCCTTGTCTCAACAATGTTAGGCAAGTAAAAATTCCTACCCCAGGACAAAGTGGGGGTTTCTAGGTTAGGGGTTGCTCGTTTTCTGGCGCCAGTGTTTAGCCATAGTAGCAGAAATAGGTCGACGTAAAATAACCAAAAAAGCTAATAGACCAGGCGGTATCTGTTTTGGTTTGGGTGAATCGTATATCCACGGAGATTTTTGGCTTTTTGGCTTTCAAATAACACTAGAAATTAAAATTTTTCTATGCGCATAAAAAAAACGTGGGCTTAACTTTTGACGGCACAATATGTTAAAAAAATTGGAAAAATGTCATATTTTTCTTCCTATTTAATTATGTATCTTTTTAAGAGTTGATTTTAGACGAAAATGGAAGAGGAAAAAAATGTTTGTAATTAAATTTTTTACAATAAATGACAGGTTACAAATCGAATGAATCATGATTATTATGGTAAAAATAATATTTAAATTGGGTGTAGGACCTTTATACTTGGCTCAAGAAAACTTCATGTTATGTAGAATCATTACACCAACTTTTATCAAAATCGGTTCGATAGATTTTGCATAATAATTTTGCAATCCAGTTAAAAAAAAATGCAAATTTTCAAAATTTTGCACAGCAAAAACCAAGGCCCTTAGATATTTGAAAATTTAATCACATATAGAAGTTCTCTCAGGCTTTTAAAATTTTTTTGAAAAATTCGAATCCGTCAATTAGGAGAGCTCTGGCGCTTGTTTAAACATTGGTCGAATTTTTATACTTATAAACAATTAGAACTTTGTGAATATTCAATCAAATCAAATTTTTTAAAGCAGGTTTTAAAAGTTCTTGGAAACAGGCTTCTTTAAAAAAAACAGATCGATTGATCAATTAGTTACGTAGTTATAGCCGTCATTTACACTAATGTACTGGGACAT